GTTTTTATTTTGTACTCTTCAAATTTCTCAAGCATTTCTGCTTGTGAAGCGCAAACAAGCACCCGGTCACTATCGCTATACTCTTCGATGGAAGCCATATTGCTTTGGTTTCGCGCGTTTTTCCCAATTTCGCGCACTAAATTTATTTGAATTTTAAATATCGAATACCGCTGACTCGTATGTATTGCAGTTTCAGATATGTGCGTATCTTGTCTATGATCTAGTGCCGACCTTGACATCGGTTCTGTGACAAAATTATTCCAATATGGCGGATTTAAACTCGTTTGTCGAAAAAACATTAGAATTGCTGAATTTGGAAAGACAAGCTGAAATAAATGAATCTAGAGCGTTTTATGAAAACGCCGATAATACAACGTTAGAAAATAAAGGTGTTTGCTTGCGAAAACTGGTCGTATTTGGTAGGAAAACCGGTTTATATGGCCGCTCTTTGCTAACTTTGGGGAAATCCAAGGGACATTCTTCGAAAAATTTGCCTCTACCAGCTCATTGTATTACAGCAGGTATGACTAATTCAATGTACAATATGATGTACAAATGTTAGGTGTATTATATTGTACAGTATTGATTTTGCAATCGTTCAAATTATAATATAATCACACACAGTGAAACTAGTTTCAATAAAAGAGATGACTCAGGTGAGCAGACGACCCTTTCTGGGGCCTCTAGGGAGAACGTTTAGAATTGATAGAGCTATCCAGTGTAAATAAAGTTAGTTTAGTTTAGGTTTCCTCCTGTAGTAACACTGGATCAATAGGAGATGATTCCTACTGGACCACTGGCGCTCATTTTGTTAAATGAGTCAACGTAACACAAGCACTTCTTACTTCAGGTGACATTGTGGGTCTATCTTACTCTTCTGCCGACAATAATGTTGCAGAACTGTCTTCTGGGATTGTTACTCGTGTGTCAGAGACCTCTGTTGTTGTTGCGTTTGAAGAAGCATTTGATTTGCAATCATTCGATGAGGATCGGCTGATGAGAGTCACTCGTTTGGCTAACGATGTGACTTTTAAACGAATGAAAAGGTTACTTTAATATAAATTAGAAATTTGAATTACGGTATAGTAATTGAATGATGTGGTATGGTATGGTATGGTATGGTATGGTATGGTAATGTATGGTATGGTATGGTATGGTATGGTATGGTAATGTATGGTATGGTATGGTAATGTATGGTATGGTATGGTATGGTAATGTATGGTATGACTTCAAACTTAAATTTTCAAACAAATGTTTACAATATATCCCAAAATTCCACTTTATTTCAGAGCCCTGGAAACACTTTGTATACCATCCTCATTTTGCTCGTCCCATTTGGTTTCTGTCCTTTTTGGCGATACTGCCATTGGCGCACCACTGAATTTATCAAGCCTTGCGGGAAATCGAGATGATGGCTCGGTTAGGCAGGAGGTGTTCTACAATGCGAACCTTAACGAGAGCCAGCGTGATGCAGTAAGGTTTGCATTGTCATGTCGAGACGTGGGGATTATTCACGGGCCGCCTGGAACAGGAAAGACCACCACAATTGTTGAAGTTATTGTTCAAGCTGTCAAGAAGTATGATTTGAAGGTAAGGTTTACTGTCGTTCCAATTGAAGTGTTCCTCAAATATTGATTCAATACATTACCTCGGGCTGACCAATTCATTTCATCAAGTTCCTCGAGATATTCATACACTTCCTGTGAAAGAGCCAATTCCAAGTATTTGATAATTTCTGGTCACTTCCTTTCTATTTATGATTAGTTAGTTGCACAAACAACAAAGGTGATTGGCGCATTCAAACTATTCAACAGGAAGTTTACAATTATACTAGGAAGTGTATGAATATTTCGAGGAACTTGATCAAATGAATTGGCCAGCCCGAGGTAATGTATTGAATCAATATTTGAGGAACACTTCAATTGGAACGACAGTAATTATTTAGTCTAGTTTAATTAAGTGAACATACTCAACATAGAATAGAGTGTAGTGGTATGATGTGATGTATGGTATTCTGTGGTATGGTATGGTACGGTATGGTACGATATGGTATGGTACGGTATGGTATGGTAAAGTATGGTGTGGTATGAAATAGTATGGTATGCTGTGCTGTAGTATGGTGTGGTATGGTATGTGTTATGGTGTGTTATGGCTGCATGAGGTAGTATGGTGTGGTATGGTATAGTTGATGTAGTGTGGTATGGTGTTGTGTGGTATTGTGTGATATGGTATCATGTGATGTGGTTTGGTGTGGTATGGTTGGTGACTTGGTATAGTGTAGTATGGTATGGTATGTCATTCTATGGTTTGGTGTAGTATGGTATGGCATTCTATGGTTTGGTCACTTTGGTGTAGTATGGTGTGGCATTGGTATGGCATTCTATGGTTTGGTGTAGTATGGCATGGTATGATGGGGTACGGAGTAGTTTTATGTGATACAGTTTTGTTTGGTATGGTAATGTTTCACTGTAAGTGTTATGTGATACAGTTTTGTTTGGTATGGTAATGTTTCACTGTAAATTGCTGTATTTCTATGTTTTACAGATCTTGGCATGTGCGCCATCAAACATTGCTGTTGATAATATTTTGGAAAGATTGGTTAAGTACAAAATTAAAGTAAGCCATATTTACGAAATTATAATTTTGCACAATATCCTTTTGCTATTATTAAACTCGCAGTAAGATTTGCATGATTTCAAAAATAGATGTTGTATTTGCTGGTGACAAAATTAAATTTCAGATACCCAATTTGACACAATTACCCAGACTCTTTCTGTAGCTCGTATACATCGTTCTTCTCTTCAACAGTTTGTTTCGTTCGTGCAAAAACATGATATGCTATATCTTCTCAATTAAGGCAGTACGTCTAGGTCACCCAGCTCGCGTGATGGAGAAGATTCACAGTTATTCCCTCGATGCAATCCTTGATTCATCTCATGATACAACCATTGTTAAAGATGTTAGGAGAGACATTGACCTGACTTTGGTATGTGTTTAGTAGAGCTAGTAAAACTTGCATGGCAGTGAGTCTGTCAAGACGAACCGTACGTGGTTGGAATTGATTTTTGAGGATGATCCCCTTTGCTCAGGGCAAGCTAAATTAAAGTAACGTATTAAGACTTGATAGCTTTATCAGTTCTAAACTGTTCTTCCTAGAGGTCCAGTATGGATCATCTCTTATTGATCCAGTGTTACTGCAGGAGGAAACCTAAACTCAACTAACTTTATTTATACTGGATAGTTCTACCAGTTCTGAACTGTTCTCGATCCCTAGATCTCCAGTAAGGATCATCTCTTATTGATCCAGTGTTACTACAGGAGGAAACGTGAACTAAACTAACTTTATTTATACTAGATAGCTTTATCAGTTCTAAACTATTCTTCCTAGAGGTCCAGTAAGAATCATCTCTTATTGATCCAGTATTACTACAGGAGGAAACCTAAACTAAACTAACTTTACTTATACTGGATAGCTCTACGGGAAAAACATGTAGTCACAAATTAATCTAATCCCGAATCCAGTGACAGACAGTGGTACTGGAAGCGAAATCTGAGCCTCTCTAATCTTGCATTCCTAGCGAAAACTTCAAGGCAGCCGAAACTCCGGAGAAAGATCAAGACTACGAACAGAGATCAAGACACTGCGCAAAGAATTGAGAGAACGCGAGGAGAAAGCACTGAAACAGATCCTTCAAAATGTCCAGGTCATATTATCCACCAATGTATCCGCTTCGAACGATGGGCCGTTGAAACATCTCCCGAGGGACCATTTTGATTTGGTGATCATCGATGAGGCTGCTCAGTCATTGGAGGCTGCATGTTGGATACCGTTGCTATGGGCACCTAGGTGAGTGATGTTGTCATGGTGATAATGACGTGAGCATCCTGACAGCAAGAGAAGGGCCTATCAATCCGAAGCTTTCTTGCAATACCTGCCCGCATCTTTTATTAGACAGATTTAGATCGAGGACGCGGACGTCAAAGACGACGTTAAAATGGCGTCAAAATGGCGTGGTATATCCATACATGGGCACAACACGCCATTTTCACGTCGTCTTTGACGTCCGCGTCCTCGATCTAAATCTGTCTATTAACTCAATAAGCCGCCATGATCCCAAACGCCCCTACATTGTTTTTTTACTCTTTCTAACACCTGACAATTTTATTCCAGGTGTGTTTTGGCTGGAGATCATAAACAGCTGCCACCGACCATAATGTCACGTGATGCTGCACGGCGGGGACTGGAAGAGACTTTGATGGAAAAAGTTATAAAGATGCTGGGTGACAAAGTTGTTCATATGTTGACCACACAGTACAGGTATGTATGTCACGTGTTGTTTACATGTTATTCACATGTTGCTCACATGTTTTTTGCATGTTGCTGACATGTTTTTCACATGTTCTTTGCATGTTGTTCACATGTTGCTCACATGTTGCTCACATTTCTTTGCATGTTGTTCACATGTTGCTCACATGTTCTTTGCATGTTGTTCACATGTTGTTCACATGTTGTTCAAGTGTTGTTCACATGTTGTTCACATGTTGGACACATGTTCTTTGCATGTTGTTCACATGTTGTTCAAGTGTTGTTCACATGTTGTTTACAGTTCACATGTTGGACACATGTTCTTTGCATGTAGCTCACATGTTGTTCAAGTGTTGTTCACATGTTGGACACATGTTGGACACATGTTCTTTGCATGTTGTTCAAGTGTTGTTCACATGTTGTTTACATGTTATTCACATGTTGGACACATGTTCTTTGCATGTAGCTCACATGTTGTTCTTGTGTTGTTCACATGTTGTTGTTCACAGGAAGTCCACATGTTCCCATAGTTTATCTGTTTCCCGTTTTATAGAATGCACGAAATAATCATGAGTTGGTCATCGGAACAACTTTATGATGGAAAACTGCTGGCCGATGTGTCTGTGGCGCAGCATTTATTATGTCACTTGCCGGACGTGAACGATACGGAACTGGCATCGTTGCCGTTGTTGATGATTGATACCGCTAGCTGTGATTTGTACGAACTGCAGGCGCAGGACGAGGAATCCAAGGGCAACGAAGGCGAAGCTGACGTTGTGGCAGCGCATATCGAGGGACTGGTAGAGAGCGGTGTGAAACAACAGGATATAGGAGTCATAACGCCGTATAATCTACAGGTTATCGGATATGTTCTTTTTATACTGGATAGCACTTTATATAATAACTGCAGTGAAACACGCAATTTGATTGGTCAACAGCCGTGCAGGATCAGACTATCCTGCACGATGAATTAAAATGCCTTCGCAGGATTCTCAAAATGTCATTGTTTCACTGTAGTTATTTTATAGAACAATTACCAAATGAGCCATCAGATCACGACACTTTTGTATATAAAAAGGGCGCGTGAATTGAGCAAGTCACATATTATTAGCACTGTTGAAGATCCGGGCTTACGGATCGAAAGCTTTGCAGTAATAAATTTACGTGATGTTTCCACAAACAAAACTATTATATAATTACCAAATGGTTTTCCAAGCAGGATAGCGTGATCCATGCACTTGGGATGTTGCTCGACTTTCGGAAAGCGTGAAAATACACTCGCCTGCGACTCGAGTATTTTTACGCTTTCCGAAAGTCTCGCGACATCCCTCGTGCATGGATCACGCAATCCTGCACGGAAAACCATCCGGTATTTCTTTAATCTAAACTGTTCTCTCGTTCTTAACGCCGTGGAAAACCGCCTTAAAGGTCTAGTAAGTTCAACCTTCTTTCTTCCCCAACTTCAATCGATATCTTGGTTTTATCTCGGTTTTATCCTCTGTTATCAAGGTGGAACTCCTGAGGTCCCGTTTATCCAGCAAATACCCAGCGCTCGAGATCAAATCAGTGGATGGTTTCCAGGGACGGGAAAAGGAAGCCATAGTTATATCAATGGTGCGCTCGAATACAAAACGTACGAGACTTCTGTAAAAGTATTTATAAAATAACATGTATATAACGCGTGCTCTGATTGGTCGAAACCCGTGTTTGGATCAGGCCATCCAAACACGGAAATTTAAAGTGAAAGTTTTTTAAAGTGAAATTTTAACACGGAAATTTGTTATTTTATAAAACAATTACTTTATGGTTTCCGTGTTTGGATGGCCTGATCCAAACACTTGGGAATGTTGCTCGACGCGCGCTTTTCGCGCGTTTTTCTTAACTCTCGCAACATTCCCGCGTGTTTGGATCAGGCCATCCAAACACGGAAACCATAAAGTAATTGTATATTCTTGTCCTTGCATCTATATTACAACATTGTAATGCGCATATGGTCTGCAACCATACTCACTAAAATGTTTCTGTATTCAACAAAATTCTACCTTAACAAGCTTTCGCTGATGTTTAGGCGAGATAGGCTTCTTGGCTGAGAACCGAAGAATGAACGTAGCTGTTACGAGAGCACGACGACATCTTACGATGGTTGGCGATTCCAGTACGGTCGGTCACGATCCTTTCCTGAGCTCTCTTGTTGAGTATATCAGCGCTCACGGCGAGGTATGGTCGGCTGAACAGTATCGGTCTCATATAAGCGGGGATACTACGCGAATAGGTAAGGATATAATTTTTATCAGTTTCCTCCTGTAGTAACACTGGATCACTAAGAGATGATCCTTACTGGACCTCTAGGGAGAACAATTTAGAATTGATAGAGCTATCCAGTATAAGTAAAGTTAGTTTAGTTTAGGTTTCCTCCTGTAGTAACACTGGATCACTAAGAGATGATCCTTACTGGACCTCTAGGGAGAACAATTTAGAATTGATAGAGCTATCCAGTATAAATAAAGTTAGTTTAGTTTAGGTTTCCTCCTGTAGCAACACTTGATCAATAAGTTATAAGAGATGATCCTTACTGAATCTCTGGGAAGAACAGTTTAGAATTCTAAACAATTCTAACAATTGTTAGAGTTATCCAGTATAAATAAAGTTAGTTTAGTTTAGATTTCCTCCTGTAGTAACACTGGGTCAATAAGAGATGATCCTTACTGGACCTCTAGAGAGAACAGTCTAGAACTGATAGAGCTATCCAGTGTAAGTAAAGTTAGTTTAGTTTAGGTTTCCTCCTGTAGTAACACTGGATCAATAAGAGATGATCCTTACTGGACCTCTAGGAAGAACAGTTTGGAACTGATAGAGCTATCCAATATAAATATAGTTAGTTTAGTTTAGGTTTCCTTCTGTAGTTACACTGGATCAATAAAAGATGATTCTTACTGGACCTCTAGAGAGAACAGTTTGGAACTGATAGAGCTATCCAATATAAATATAGTTAGTTTAGTGTAGGTTTCCTTCTGTAGTTACACTGGGTCAATAAGAGATGATCTTTACTGGACCTCTAGGAAGAACAGTTTGGAACTGATAGAGCTATCCAGTATAAATAAAGTTAGTTTAGTTTAGGTTTCCTCCTGTAGTAATACTGGATCAATAAAAGATGACCCTTACTGGATTACTAGGGAGAACAGTTTAGAACTAATAGAGCTATCCAGTATAAATAAAGTTAGTAATTCGAGCAATGCTTTTACAACTATTTTACAGCAAGTAGAACTAGCACGAAGACATCGAACGAAGACAAATCTAAGTTAAAGAATTCGAAACAACACAAAGAAAAGAGCAATTCAAACACCGAGTATGTATCCAAAAAGAAACATGAGAGGAAACTGGACTCCCTCAAAAATTCAAACAACAAACCACAATTTTTATTTACTTTGCTGGATAACGAAGGACAAACAGATACAACAGTGGACAATACAGAAAAACTTGAGGGACAGATTAAAGCGTTCCTATATGATCCTACGAGATCCGAACTTGTGTTTTCCACTGATTTGACTTCTCAAGAGCGTTTCACAGTTCATCGTCTCGCGGAGGAGTTTGGGCTTGAGCATGTCAGCAAGGGGACTGGGGAGGAACGTTTCATTGCCGTTGCTAAGAAACGAACGTCGGATGAAGGTAAGCTTTGTTCTGAATTTCATGTATAGAATGTTCAACATCAGATCACTTTAAGGTAGCTCACATTCAAGAACATGTACTACTTCTGTATAATCTAACCATGCTTAACTAAGCAGTGAGTTCTTTATAACATCAGATCACTTTAAGGTAGCCCACATTCAAGAACATGTACCACCTCTGTATGATCTAACCATGCTTAACTCAGCAGAGAGTTCTGTACAACATCAGATCACTTTAAGGCAGCCCACATTCAAGAACGTGTATTACCTCTGTATGACCTAACCATGCTTAACTCAGCAGTGAGTTCTGTGCAACATCAGATCACTTTAACGCAGCCTACATTCAAGAACATGTACTACCCCTGCATGATCTAACCATGCTTAACTCAGCAGTGAGTTCTGTATAACATCAGATCACTTTAAGGCAGCCTACATTCAAGAACATGTACCACCTCTGTATGATCTAACCATGCTTAACTCAGCTGTAAGTTCTGTATAACATCAGATCACTTTAAAATAGCTCACATTCAAGAACATTTACTGCTTCTGTATGATCATCTAACCATGCTTAACTCAGCAGTGAGTTCTGTACAACATCAGATCACTTTAATGTAGCTCACATTCAAGAACATGCACTACCTTTGTATGATCTAACCATGCTTAACTCAGCAATGAGTTCTGTACAACATCAGATCACTTTAAGGTAACCCACATTCAAGAAGTCAACGTGTATTACCTCTGTATGATCTAACCATGCTAAACTCGGCAGTGAGTTCTGTGCAACATCCGATCACTTGAAGGCAGCCTACATTCAAGAACATGTACTACCTCTGCATAATCTAACCATGTTTAACTCAGCACTGAGTTCTTTTACAACATCAAAGAACTCAACCGTTATAATTTTAGATCCAGATATCGTTGAAACCGAAAGAGCGACGAAGAAAGCCGAATACAATACGGAAATGATCGAAACTGAACCGAGCGACAACACGAATATTTGCCAGTTTTGTGGAAAACAGATACCAGGATTAAACATGAGCTTACATGAAATAAGGTGCGAACAAGGCAGACAACGGGAGAACAACACACTGTCAGGTAATGTAGCGATATCAGTGGGTAATAGTTCTGGTAAAAAGAAGGTTAAAAAGGGCAGGAGCGCTAAAAAGAACGAAAACACGGGAAACTTAGACGGTAAAAACGATACTGGCGACAAAAACGACGAACAAAGCGAAAATATGAAAAAGTTAGACGAACTTTTGGCAGACTTTAAAAGAAAGGATTCGCAGTGCGCGTTGCAAGATTGTAAAAAGAGTATTTTGACTGTTGGGCAAAAATGCGAGTTTTGTTTGAAGGTATATTGTCTAGGCCACCGTTTCCCAGAAGTCCATGGCTGTACCCAGGCCGCAAAAGAACACGCGCGATCTGCAACAGGTGCCACAAGACAAGTGTCTCAGAAAGCAGCGGCCAAAAGAGGACATTTGGAAAGAAAATTGGAAAGTAGAATCAAGGACATGCAAGGTAATCGTAGAACCAAACATAAGGATGGAAAATAGTATTAAAATTCTTTGAATATTTAGTTTGATACTTTTCTACACACATCCTGTCACATCATACGAGAGTTGTGAGTATGTCTTTGCTTTCTTTCGAAGCAGACGCTGACACAATTGCCTGCGGGCGTGGGTGACGCACGATATGTGCATAAAGGTTAAGAAAAAAGAACAAAAAATTAGAAAATTAATCACTGGAAGCTCTAGAGACAGGGTTTCCTGATAGGCAAATACAAACCTGCTGTACTTAGAGAAATTTGGCTAACATTTGTTTATACCTAATTCACAACTCGCATGCCTAATTATCATTGTTCTTGTATACAGAAGCATGGAATAGACAAAGGTAACTAAGGGCGCTTTCCGTTTAATAGCCTGACCGGTCAGACCCGAATTTTTGTCTCTGTTTCAATGGAAAGATCTGGCCTATGTTTCTCAAATATCTAGCGAAAATGGACCTCATTCTAATTTTATCTAAATTTTCCGGTCAGATGGGTCCAAAGCCCAAACGTTTTGTGTTTCATTCAACAACTTGACCGTTCTGACCGGTCTGGCCGTGTTAATGGAAAGCGCCCTAAGCTTGAGAATAATACATAATTCTAATGCTTTTATTTTATGCTTCTGTAAACTAGAACAATAGTAACTAGACATGCGAGTTTTCTAAAGTTGTGGATGGACAACTTGCATGTTCGACTAAATTTTAATCTAAGTAAAGAGAAGGGAATCAAACACAACAGTTAAAAAGAACATAATGAAATTAGTAAAAGTGCAAAATTTGGTTGCGAAATGTTGTAAAATACAGAAAATATAGCCTTGCGAAGTTTGCATATTTTCAGTATATTTGTGTTTCCTCCTGAATTATTAATTTTTGAGTTTTTGAAAGGCTAATACAAACCTACATTTTCAAGGTTTTGTCTGATCAATGCATGTGGAAAAGTGCAATATGTAAATACGTAAAGGATATGATCTTTTGAGTAGATCCTGGAATCAAAATAATTGAGATCCAACGAGGCTGCTAGCTTTTTTGCCAAGCTGCAAAGTCTCTGAAAAATACGTTAAAAAGAATGTTTTTCAAAATATAACAATACAACATGCTTAAAAGAGGCTCACTCTCACCTCCCCCTCTCCCCTCTCACCTCCCCCAACACGTACCTTTCTGTTTGTTGTGTAAGACGTGATCTTTTGTTCGTGCATGTGGAAGCCATTGAGCACGACATAATAGTATACACTTCCAGCGCCTAAATGTGACAAAAGAAGCTAAACTAAGGTATTCTGGATAGCCCAATCAATTCTAAACTGTTCTTCCTAGAGATCCAGTGTTACTACAGGAAGAAACCTAATTTAAACTAAACTTTATTTAATATACTAGATAGTTCTTTCAGTTCTAAACTGTTCTCCTCAGTGGTCCAGTCAGGATCATCTCTTATTGATCCAGTATTTCTATAGGAAGAAACCTAAACTAAACTAACTTTATTGATACTGGATAACTCTGTCAGTTCTAAACTGTTCTTCCTAGAGGTCCAGTAAGGATCATCTCTTATTGATCCAGTGTTACTACAGGAGGAAACCTAAACTAAACTAACTTTATTGATACTGGATAGCTCTATCAGTTCTAAACTCTCCAGAGGTCCAGTAAGTTCTTACCATACTTTTGTTCCTTCAGTCGTATATAAACATTATTAAATGCCCCAGCATAAGTCAAATGACCGTTCTCGTAGAATGAGTATTCTTTATTGGTTGAATCCAGAATGCACCTACGGTGACCACGATTTTCCCAAGCCATCGTTGCACATACTAATGATAGGACAAACGAGAATACCAGATATTGCTGTAAAAAGGCAAAACAGGCGTTGAGGAAAACAGCCATGTTTCCTTATGGTAGACAAACCAGGAAACATTGTCTCCTAGCGATGTTTCCCGAAGGAAGGCAAACTGTCTCCTAACCATGTTGGCACGTTTCCTTAAGGTGGGCAAATGCAGGAAACTTGGGCAGGGAACGTGGTTTTCTAGCCATGTTTCCTTAAGGTAGGCAATCCTGAAAACCAAAAAATGTTTCTGAACTTGTAGGGAAACATATTTTTCCTTTCTGGCAAACAACTTTTGCATGAGGAAACACCAATTTTTGTTATACTTTACCCCTGGGCCGTTTACAACAATTGATACGATAGTAAAAAGAATAATTCCAACAGTAAACAGCACTCCGTAGTAAAATCTGCGATCGCATAACTCCAAATCAAAATCTGGAAAAGAAATAAAACTTCGCTCAGTCGCGTTCCTCCAGAAGATTTAGTAGCTGGCCAGTATAAATAAAGAACATTTGGCGGACATGACTTAACTTACGATTTTCGTCTGTTTTCTCAAAGGGATAAAAAGGATTTTTCATCAGTTGCCGTTTGAAGGTAACTTCTGGTTTCTCTAAAATTTCCAAATTTTTTATCCTCTCTAACATCGTGGGTTCGTTTAAAAATGTTGTCTAAACATTGACAAAGTTAATCTGACATAATAAGGTAATTAATTATTGGGTCATTAATTATTGGAACTGATTAGCATAAAAGACGTTGAGGAAATTTTTGAAATTGAAGTGGAAGCACAGGCCTTAAAAAAGGCGGGAAAATTTTATTTGATTTGCAACAATATTTTCCAAAATGGCCGGTCTCGCAGAATCGACAGTTGAGAGCCTTTCCCAGCTTAGTTTATCAGAAATTCCCAAGGCTTGGGTGGACGAAGTCTGGCAGACGGATTTCTGTGAGGTTTGTGAACTTCCAGACGTTTTATCAGAGGTTTTGGACGGCAAGAAGTATTATTCTGAAGAGCTGAAATGCTTGTCGAAAGTTGTCGAAGAGTGGTCAAAATGTGAACCGGATAGTCAGCCATTGGGTAAGTTTGTAGTCGGTTTGTGTATTTCTAGATGTTTTGTGCGAGGATTTAAGTGTTTGAATATTGAAGGTACAAATGGTCGTCGCATTATGTACAAATGGTCGTCGCCTTAAAAATAATATCAAAATTGTACAGTAAACATTCACATGACAACAGTCCCAAATGGTCTAGTCACATACATGCTTAAATACTCACAACTTGTCAACAAGATGTGTTCGCACGGCTTGTTTCCAGTTGTTGACAAGTCTGGGACAAATTGTTATCATCTTGTAACAAGGTTGATGAGGCCAAAAGACCTGCAACATGTTGTTCCAACAAGTCTGACATTGCATGTAACAAGTTGTTACCAATTACAACAAACTCGTGGTAACTTGTTACGAACAGCTCATGTAACATGTTCCAACATCAATCTTGCGACAAGATGACAGCAACACATTTGTTCCACGCAGACTTACCAGCAAGCACATCAGATATCGGCTTTACAACAACTTCGTTGCAAGCAAGAGATTGGTTGATTATAATCACATGTGCAGGTATCCCGACCAGTATTTCTCTGAATCAATGAGAAAGGAACTAGAATTCTAGGGAGAGCAGAACTGATAGAGCACTCTATCCAGTATATTTAGGCCTGAGTTACACAATACTGATTTTGCATCGGAGTGAGTCGAGCGACATCAACTAAAGCTGGAGTTACACGAGCAACAAATTACTGCAACTTGCAACAAAATCTGATTTCAATGCATGTTAAGTAGAAATGTCGACACATGTTGCCTCGTGACTTGTAATTTGTGTAAACATTTTCAACTAACATGCGTTGAAATCAGATTTTGTTGCAAATTGCAGCAATTTTGTTGCTCGTGTAACTCCAAGATAGCAAACAAGTTTTGCTATTTGAAAAGGGAGTTTTGCTATTTGAAAAGGGTGTTTTGCTATTTGAAAAGGGAGGTTTGCTATTTGAAAACAGAGTTTGAAAAGGGTGTTTTGCTATTTAAAAAGGGAGTTTTGCTATTTGATAATGGAGTTTTGCTCTTTGAAAAGGGAGTTTTGCTAGTTGAAAAGGGAGTTTTGCTATTTGAAAAGGGTGTTTTGCTATTTGAAAAGGAAGTTTTGTTATTTGAAAACTAAGGGAGTTTTGCTATTTGAAAAGGGTGTTTTGCTATTTGAAAAGGGTGTTTTGCTATTTGAAAAGGGAGGTTTGCTATTTTAAAAGGGAGTTTTGCTATTTGAAAAGGGAGTTTTGCTATTTGAAAAGGGAGTTTTGCTATTTGAAAAGCGAGGTTTGCTATTTGAAAAGGGAGTTTTGCTATTTGAAAAGGGAGTTTTGCTATTTGAAAAGGGTGTTTTGCTATTTGAAAAGGGAGTTTTGCTATTTGAAAAGGGTGTTTTGCTTTTTGAAAAGGGTGTTTTGCTATTTGAAAAGGGTGTTTTGCTATTTAAAAACGGAGTTTTGCTATTTCAACAGGCCTTAAAATATCGGTCGGTCACGGACATTGTCCGACCCATTCGTGAAATTGTCCGACGTAGAGAGGAAACCATCGAACATTCTGTCCGACCAAAGTGAAACTGAGGTTTATTGTTTGTCCGACCCGAGTGTATTGGTGTCCGACCGAACTGTAGCTTTGTCCGACGTATATCAAAATGTACCCTAGCCCAGGACTAGAGGCTTGTATGTTAAATGGAAAATCAAAGGACTATTGTATAAAAGGTGAACTGGAAATGTTGTTTTAACGTAGTCGAGCGCGAGGCGGCGAGCGAAATGGTGAAGTGGAAAACGGGCTTAAGTTGCGAAGTCTTTTTTAATACTGCTGTTCTGGCAAGCAAGTTAATTTTATCTTGGAAATAAGAATGAAAGAAAAAAATTATTTAATATCTTTACTACATTTACCGTTATTCATTTGTGTAATTAGGACTTATTTCCGAGTCAAAACTGACCTGAAGATCATCGGACATATGTCCGACCCAAACTCAACGTCATCGGACATTTTGTCAGACGGCCCTGTAAAAGATATTTTAAGGCCTGATTTCAAACAACGACTCCAACGTTTCTTAGTGCCATCAGTGCAATCATGTTTCATGCCAAGACATCTCAGACACATGATATACCAACTAAATTACGGTGTTGAATACCTTGGACTTGGAAAGGTCATGTGCTACCAGCAAAAAATAAGTACGCAGATAGCAAGAGTTCCGCGTACCTACCTGGTACGTGGCTGAATACAAAGAAGTACCAGACAGTAATATTGGCGTACCTCCGCTACGTAAGTACGCGAATTATCGCACCCTGAATCAATGTTTATTGCTCAAATTCTCGGTGGAATAAAAAATAGTGTTATTGGACTGTGAACAGTCTTAGTACTATTTATAAGGGCATAAAACTATTGTTTGTGTCTTAAAGCTTTTGTTAAGTATTTTAAGCTATTGTTGAGTGCTGTAAAGCTATTATTGGGTGTCTTAGAGCTATTGTTAAGTGCTTTAAAGCTATTAGCAAGTGTTTTAAGGCTGTTGTTAAGTGTCTTAAGTGCTTTATTAAAGCTATTTTTATTTAAAAGAGGTTTTTAACTCCAAAAATGATCTCAGTGCATACCTTGACTCTTAGTGTTTGAGCACCTGTTGGAATTCTGTAATTGTATAAAAGTTTTATGTGATGGTTAATTAAGTGTGATGAATACCTCCTCCCCTCCGAGCCCCCACCCCAGCTGTCCGCATCCCCCCCCCC